CCCAGCAGACCCCGGTGGCCCTGTGAGGTTTCATAGGAGATGGGAGTGGCCGGGGTGATGGGCACAGACCTCCAGATCTCCACAGCCTCCTTGGCTGGGGAGGGTAGTGCTGGTCTGGGGGTGACACCTGGGGTCCCCTGGGGTGGCTGGGAGGATGTTGGGCTCCTTCCGAGAGGTGATGCTGTGTGGGCACCAGGGATGGGATCAGTGCTTGAGTCCCTTCTGTCCTCTCCGTGGCTCCAGAGCACCCTGCTGACACCCCCCAGGAGTGTTTCCAGCGCATCAGCCGCCGCCTCCGCGCCACCCTGAAGCGGGGCCGGATCCCCATGGTGAGCGGGGGCCGGGGGGGCTGGGGTGGGCAGGGCCTGTGTCCTGGGGACTGTCCCTTGGTCTTGGCACAGTCACCGAGCCGGACAAGGGCTGAATTTCAGATGAGCTACTGAGGAACGTGCTCCAGTTCCCAGCTGACCTGCAGCAGGGGCTGCAGACACTGACCCACTGCAGGCAGGTTCTTCTGCCTCCATTCAGATTTTCCTGGTAGCTACAGGACACTTGTATGTGGTTATGTCACCATCTCTGCTTATTGGGCAGCAAGTGATGGGGAACCCAGCGTGTTTGCCCACAGGGGCAGCGGGGGAGCCTTTGGGGTATCTGCACAAGGCGATTTTGAACAACTTAAATGTGTTTTGGAGGGATCAAACTGCATAAACCACTGAGCAGGCGATTAAGTCTGGCTGGCGAGGCCAGCGTGGCCCAGTGCTGCCTGGCTCGGGGAGCTGAGCTGCCACATGTGGCCCCTTGCTGTGCCACCTGCCCAGGGTTGGGCTGCTGGCCCCAGGGGTGCCTGGCTCCCTGCTCCCTCCTCACAATGGGGCTGTTTTCCTGCTCTGTTTGTTTTCCTGGCTCTAATTAGCCTCTAAAAGCAGCCAGGGCTCCTCCTGCCCACTGCTTCTGCTCAATTTATTCTCAAATGAGACTTGCTTCTGGTGCTTGTACCCTGGGTCATGGTGCTCCAGAGAGCTGTTCTGAGCCCTGCTTTGCCTGTTGGGAGCAAGGGAGCTGCAAGGCACAAGGCTTTGCTGGCTGATGCCAGCCTTTGGCACACAAAGGACAGGGATGGATTCTTCCCAGCCTTGGCAGATGGAGAGGGGAGATGTCCCTTTTCTTCCTGCCTTCCTGCTGTTCTGCATCCAGATGATGTGCCTGGGGCAGCAGGTCCTCGAGGCAGGACATGAGTGCTGTGAGGGGTGGGGGGCTTTGCCCAGCTGCCCTTGCCCAGCTCCCCTTGTCCAGCTCCCTGCTCTCTCCTTGTCCAGGCAGGGTCCAGCTGCTACTGCTACCCTCACTGACAGCCCCTGCCCTCTCTCCTCACAGGGGACACTGGAAGGCCTGGAGGAGGAGCTGCTGGCCTTCTTCTCGGTCACCCCTCACTCCGTCTACACCGCGCTGATGGACAACAGGTCTGTGTGCCCCACTGTGGAGCAGGGCTGGGGTCCCCAGCCGTGCACATCCCACCGGTGGGGTTCCCTGAGCCCTAACCCTGTCCCCATCTCCCTCAGCTTTGAGCGGCTCCTGCTCCACGCGCTCTGCCAGTACATGGACCTCGTCTCTGCCAGTAAGAGCCTCGTGTTTGTTTGTTTTTGTTGTTGTTTTTCCCTTCTTTCCCTCACTATCTCTGCTCTCCAGCTCAGCCTCTTCCTCCCCTTGGCCCCCCCTTGCACTGCAGCTCCAAGATAACCCAGCTCACGGGAGCCGCGGCTGCGCTCACGCCAGCACTGGTGGTGGGTGGCCAGGGATGAAGCCCAGCAGCCAGGGTGATGGCCAGGCCTGCCCTGTCTTGGGCTGTCCCCTTTGCAGCTGTTTCTCCTCTTGCTTCTGGGTCTGGCTGTCTCAAAGCATGAGGCTGCTCGTGGGGCTCCATCCCCTGTGGCTGCTGCCTCCTCCCGCATGGAGCAGCCGTGCCCACGGGTTCCCTGGAAGGGTTTGTTGCCAAGGCAGGGAAGAGAGGCAGTGGGCTCTGTCCCTGCGGAGGAGGCTTTGCTGCTGAGCATTTCATTAGCAGCTGCTTGTGGAAAACAGCATGAGAACACTAATGATGTGGAGCCTGGGATGCCAAGAGGGATGCGGGGAGGGGCTGGGGGAACAGAGCACAGGGGAACCTGCTCAGGCTACAAACCAAGGAGGGGAGGCAGCAGGGGTGGGGACACTGTGTTTTGGACCTGAGGGGGGACAGGGCTGTGCTGATTACTCCCTCTCTCAGGTTCCAACATCGAAGGGAAACGTCAAATGAAAGTGAGCAACAAACACCACGTCTTTCTGCCCCCCGAGCTCCTGCTCTCAGACTACCTGGGGCAGATGAGCTGATGCCCCCTGAGCTGCCCTGCCCCTTGCTTCCTTCATCTGCCCCCAGCCCCTCGCAGCCTCTTTGGGGGCTCATCCCTTTCCCTCCCCCGGGAGCAGGTGATGGGGCAGAGCTGGGGCTCAGGGCTGCTCTCCCCGGGGCTCGTGGCCATGGCACTGCCAGGCACAAGGTGCCCGTTTGTCGCTTGCCCTGTCCCAGGGCTGCAGCGCTGCTTCCCGGCCGGAGCTGCTCTCCCTGGAACTGTTTGTGTGTCTATTTATAGCCCAGGTGCTTTTAAAAATAGTGGGGCTGGGCCAAACCCACTGACGCTCGTGGGGTGATTTCAGTCCAGATTTTTCTGTGGTGAAACAGCTCCTGGCGGCTGCTGAGCAAACGCTGAGGCAGCGGAAGAGCCCCAGGGCGTTCCCGGGCCGCGTCCAGCTCTGCACCCACCACGGGGTGTTCCGTGGGGGGCTCTGCCCTGCCAGCCCCCCCGGGCAGGGCGCGGGCTCCCCGGTGCTTTTGCCTGCGGGTGTTCTGGCAGCGCCCTGTTCCCTGCCTTGCGTGGCCCTGCCTGCACCGTGGGGGACAGGGTGTTTTTAAATGTAATATAGCCTGTGTTTTTTAACGTGTGTGTATATACGTGTGTGTGTGTCTGTGCTGGAGGCCCCAGTGGGGCAGCATGGGGGTCCCCCCATGTCCCCAGCACACATCAGGGACTGCATGCAGGGGTCGTTGCAGCTGAGGAGCCACACAGGGGGTCCTGCTCTAGCTGAGGACCAGGGGAGGAGTTGGACCCTGATCCAGGGCTGTGCCTCAGCCTGTTGTGGCAGCACCCCCTGTTCCTGGGGCTCTCTGCTCGTTGCTCTGGGCTCCAAGAAGACAACAACTGCCATTAACCAAGGGGATGGGGGAATCCAGCCCTGCCTTGCACCTCCTTTGCTTGTGTGATGGCATTCAGGAACAATAAACCACGGTGCTCCCATGTGCTGGCTGGGTCTGTGTGTGGGTGGGGAGTTCAGGGCGTCCAGGAAGGGGGCTGGGGGGGGCTGCGTAGGGGAAAGGGGGGCTCAGAAGGGGTTCATATAATTATTAAGGTTGGAAGAGACCTTCATCAAGTCCACCTGTCAGCCCTACATTCCTATGACCACTAAACCATCTCCTGAAGCACCATGTCTACCCATTTTTTTAACACCTCCAAGGATGGTGCCTCCACCACCTCCCTGGGCAGCCTGGTCCAAGGCCTCACCACTCCTTCAGTGAATAAATTTTTCCTGATATCCAATCTGAACCTCCCCTGGCACAACTTGACCCCTTTGCCTCACGTCTTACCACTGGTCACCAGGGAGAAGAGCCCAACACCCACCTCAGCACAACCTCCTCTCAAGCAGTTGTAGGGGGCACTCAGGTCACCCCTCAGCCTCCTCTTCTCGAGGCTGAACAGCCCCAGTTCCCTCAGCCTCTCCTCACAGACCTGTTCTCCAGACCCGCAGCCTTGTTGCCCTTTCTGCACCCCCCGTGTCCTTCCCATCCTGCGGCGCCCAAATCCGCACCCGCTGCTGCCGGTGCCGCCGCAGCCCGCCCGGGCAGGATCCCCCCCCGTGCCCCCCCGGGGGCGCTGCCACCAAAAGGGGGTGCGGGAGGGTCCCAAAAAATATGGAACGCTTCACGAATTTGCGTGTCATCCTTGCGCAGGGGCCATGCTAATCTTCTCTGTATCGTTCCAATTTTAGTATATGTGCTGCCGAAGCGAGCACGAATTGCTACGCACCCGCAGGAGTATTTATAGCCCTATTATTTTATCACGAAAAGGACAGGGTGAGCTTATTTTCTCCCGCCTCTCACTCCACTATGTCGCTCCCAGAGTACTTCATAGCGTTTATCTCTTCATTTCTCCACAACTTCACCAAAATTCTCCCCCGCCAACATGTAATTGCTGTTTTCTCCAGCCGCGGTGAGTTGTGGGTAGGGCTCTATGCAAATCAAAGGCGCCCGGCCCGGGCTGCCCGCGGTGCTGCCTGAGCGCGGGGAGCGGGAGCGCGCGCGGGCGGCCCGCGGGG